TGATAAGGATTTTGAAGGAGCTAAGAAATCACCCACCTAAAGCCACTGAATTTTTCCATTGGATTGGTCAGTGTTCAGGTTATAAACACAATACCATCACATTCAATGCAATTTTAAGGGTTCTGGCCAGGCATGATTCAATTAGAGAGTTTTGGACTGTTTTTGAGGAAATGAAGACTGCTGGACATGAGATGGATTTAGACACCTATATAAAGATTTCGAGGCAGTTTCAGAAATGCAGAATGATGGTTGATGCAGTGAAGCTTTATGAGCTTATGATGGATAGTCCATACAAGCCCTCAGTCCAAGATTGCAGCATCCTTCTGCGCAGCATATCAGTCGGTGAAAACCCAGACTTGGATTTGGTATTTAGAGTTGCAAAGAAATATGAATCCATGGGGCATTCCCTTTCCAAGACTATATATGATGCGATTCATCGGTCTTTGACAAGTGCTGGCAGGTTCAATGAGGCGGAGAAGATCATGAAGGTGATGAAAAATGCAGGGCATGAGCCTGACAATATTACATATAGCCAAATGGTTTTTGGACTTTGTAAGGCAAAGAGATTTGAAGAAGCCCTTAAAGTGCTGGATGACATGGAAGCACAAGGATGTCTTCCTGATATCAAGACTTGGACCATTTTGATTCAAGGACTTTGTGCTGCTAATGAAGTTGACAAGGCCTTAATTCAATTCGCAAGGATGGTGGAAAAGAATTGCAGTATCGATGCTGATTTATTGGATGTGTTGGTAAATGGTTTCCTTAGTCAAAAAAGGGTAGATGGTGCATACAAATTGCTTTTAGAATTGGTGAAAACAATTCATTTGAGACCTTGGCAAGCTACCTTTAAGAATCTTATAGAAAGGCTGTTAGGGATAAGGAAATACGAAGAAGCCTTGAGTCTTCTTGTTTTGATGAAGAAACAAAATTACCCTCCTTATCCTGAGCCTTTTATACAATATACTTCAAAGTTTGGGACCGTGGAGGATGCAGTGGAGTTCTTGAAAGCATTGAGTGTAAAGGAATATCCATCATCTTCAGCCTATCTTCATGTTCTAAAATCATTTTTGAAAGAAGGAAGACAGTATGAGGCCAAAGATCTTCTATTCAAGTGCCCGCATCATATTCGTACAAATCCTAAAATCTGTGAACTTTTTGGCTCTGCTGCTAACAGCGGCAATAACCCTGTATGAGTTTTTTTTTTTTTTAATTTTTATTTTCCTTGTTTCTTCACTTCTAATTCTCCTCTTTCTTTGAGGGTGAATTTGGGGGGGGGGATACGTTATCTTGTTGTAGAAATTTGTTTTGACATTTTTTTATAAACTTTAGAGCATAGTTGCACATCTTGATCTCATCTGGTATGATAGATTATAGGTAGAGCTTAGTTTGGTTGAAATTTTAATTGTATGTGATAAAAATTTGAACTAATAATTTTTTAAGAAACAGAACGCATACAAGTTATCTCCGGATGTTTAAGCTAAAATTTTATTCATGCCAAGTACTGTAACAACATATCTTTTCTAGGGTTGTACTCAATTCCACATGTATACGTTCAGGATTATTCCTGGATTTCTATGCTTCTATGTATGAATAACTGACGGCAGACAAATCTCCATATTTCTGTCCTAGTAATTTATATATCACTAATCATCTCATGCTATGACCAAATTTCTCAATGCAAAATGGAGATCACATTTACAAGACAAGTGTAATAGCCTTAACACAAATGTATGTCCTCTTCACATTACACAGTGAGCGTTAGTGAGTAAAAACTTGTTCAATCACAGAGTTCAGACTGCCCTCTTTTTATTGTATCTATCATTGTGCTCAAAAATTTGCAAGGATCACAGCTGTAAGGATTGGTGAGAGCCGCATGTGCCAAAAATGGTAGTTTTCTTAGTGATCTTCCACTCAAGCCCTATGCAGGTTATGAGAAAACAGTTCGAGATAAGAATATTAAAAGCAATGTTTTCCTTTCTTAATTTTCAGTAACAAAAACTGACTATGAAAATTGAACTATATTTATATCTTACCTCACATGTCTCTGCTGCTTCCAGGAATTGTTTAAAAAAATGAAGCTGTGACTGATCTTCCTGAATCTCAGATGTATTCAGTTTCTCTTTTAAAGTAACAAAATTTGGAATGAGAAGCGTGTTGGAGTCCTAAAAGAACCGTCACATAGTTAGTCATCCCATAAATTTTGTCACCTAGTGCCTAGTAGAAGAACCGAATAAAGGAGACATAAGGTCGTTGCCTTAATTTTGAAATTTATAAGCTACAGATTGATAAACTCTTCAATATCGTGCCACCGTGCATAGATTACAAATAAACTCTTGAAATGTTTGATAGTACGAAGTTAATAGTAATATTAGTTTGAGAATGATTTAAATATTTACTCAGTCATCATTAAGTTATTTAGAGAGATTATTAACTAGCTAGCTTATATTACCTCAAACTCCACAATTATCATTCCTCATCAAATTTTTCTAAGATTGTAAAGAGCTTATAACTTCTCCTTCACCAAAATTTAAACAAAGGTAAAAACCATCAAAATGACACAGATGATAAAAGAGCTACTGGAACCTGGAAATTTGATATAATTTCTGTTCGTACTAGTTCTTGCAAGCAAGATCTTAAAATTTCATAACGAGCTTGAAGAGTTGGAGGACCAACATAAGCTTTGATATCAGCTCGATCAACAAATGCAATATCTGCCACCCAAAGATTATTAAAATAGGTAAAAATCTCTAAAACTTGATTAATTACCTGCAGAAGAAATATAGGTAACGCAAACATAACAATACTAAAATGAGAAACTAGAAAATGACTGAATAAAAAGCTTTGAAGAAAATGGACTCTGACATCAGATTTATAATCAGACTGAGAAATTGCCATCCCAAGGTCCATGATGGAAGCCAATGGAAAACAAGGATTTCAGGTTGGCTTACCAATTGCAGCTGTTATATTTGATGTTGTAAGGATGATCACATTTGGTGATGATTTCAATTTGTCTAGCTGCGTTAGCAGTGCATTCACAACCTAAGACACATGTTTCGAAGTACATCAGACATTAAGCCAACATGGTCCACCAGAAGAAAAAAAAAAACTAAGATATTTATGTAATTGTGGAAGTAAAAGGACAGAAGTGGGTTGCCAAAGGTTGAACAATAGAATACCCGGATTGAATCTGAAGGTTCAGAACCAGATAGAGCAGCCTTTCGAGCAGCAGCAAGGCTTTCAACTTCATCTACAGCAAGACAAGATCGTATCCCAAACAATTATTGACCAGGAGGAAGAAGATTGACTGTAAATGCAAAATCTGGTAAAGATAAACCTCACCAATCAAAACAAATACCAGATTGTTTTCTTCCTCTACCATTTCTTGAATCTTTTGGAAAAGCTTTGCAACCTAAAAACAAAATATATCTTAGTGAGAACCATCAGCCACATATACTAGGTTTAGCTGTTAACGTTATGTTTGTCCTAATGCATATCATGTCGAAAGCTGACACAAGTTAAATTGTTCAGGACAAGCAGATAGACAATATGGCACGTTTGACAAGTAATACATTAAAAAATCCTTGTGTTTTTCTGTTATGCTCAACTGCCTCAGTAGTAAAGTGAAGCTAAGCAAGCAGAATCAAACCCATACAAGGAAGTATATCTTAATGAGAACCATCAGCCACATATCCTTAGTTTAACTGTTAACATTATGTTTGTCCTAATGCATATCAGGTCGAAACTGACAAAGTTAAATTGTCCAGGACAAGCAGGTAGACAATATGGCACAATTGACAAGTAATACATTCAAAATCATCCTTGTGTTTTTTGTTATGTCCAACTGCCTGAGTAGTAAAGTGAAGCTAAGCAAGCAGAATCAAAACCATACAAGGATGCCCCACAAAGGAGCAGCATCCTCACAGAGCCAAGGCAATGGGACAGCCTCAAAGTGTAATTAAGAATCAATGACTGACCACATGACCAGATTCACAAGTCATTCACTAGTATTCTTCACAACATAATTCACAATGCAATGGATGCTTAGATGGTTCAGACAGTAAGTCAACATTTCCCTTGGAACTAATAAGATCATGACACCAGGGAGAAAAAACCAGTAAGCAGCAGATTGCTCATCATCTTAGACTTTTACAATAAACAAGTGTGATCATGCTTTTCTCTCCAAAAGAAAACAAACTGGTAAATGGACTTAAACCCAATTTCTTGAACGAAGTAAAAGTAGCAGAAAATAAAAAAGAATGTCAAAACAAAATTACATAGATAGAAAAACATGAACAACAAAACTATTTTTCAACTTACCAACTTGCCACTTTCAGAGAACCATTTACTGAATAAAGAGTGTGCATTAACTTCAACCAATTGGCATTGAGGGTATCTGATCCAGGAAGTGTAAACCAGAAAACAAAAAGCAACTAGAAAGTCAATCACGTGATACAGTAGAAATAGTCTACTTGAACAAATGTATTATAATTGAAAAGAATTAGCAGAACCTGGAGTTTAATCGAATTGATAATTTTTGAGCTAATGCTTTACACAAAGATGTTTTCCCGGTCCCTGGAGGTCCATGTAAAAGGATAATGCTATAGATGCATACAGAATCAGACAAGAGACAGTTAGACTACTTGTGTAGGTCCATCAATAATATAATCAGTATATCATCTGTATTATGTAGACCTATTACAGAGCTAATAAGAAAAGGGAAATTGAAAAAACAATAAGTGGACATGATCAGAAGTTCACGAATTCGCAGTCAAGCTAGCTTACAGAAATAGACGACAATCAGTAACAGGAGTTTTACCAAAATAACAATATTATTCACTTTCATAAACCTTTTCCAAATCTTTCTTTCCACATAATGGCTACTTTTAAGCAAATAAGATATCAATTAAATGTTCTTTACCGGTTCCATGAGACTAGAAATGGATCAACACCTTTCTCTGTAAAAAGCAATGCACTTGAAGCATACCGCAACAACCTCTGCTTGAGTCCAGATTCATATATTAAACTGTAAAAAAGACAATTCCATGCACATCTTACTAGATTAGTATCTATTAGAGAAAAAAAAAAAAAAGTAGTAGCATTCATACCTTTCCCACATGCCATCAAATTCCTTTGCTGGGAGAATCCACTCATTAAAGCTAGATAGTTGTCCATCCCCACCTAATTCCTCACATGGTCCTTCCTCATTAAGCTGCCAAGGCAACATCCATACAACACTCAAAATTGAACAAATCCACCAAAAGAAATGATAGTTAAAAATCCTTAAGGCAACACAAATCTTTTTTTTTATAAAAAAAAAAAGGTTCTACATTGTACATGAAACGACCTTACTGTGTCATAGATATAGACCGCGAAAACATGCTCCAAATAAGCTAAAAAATGCATGGAGATAAGCAACAGTGTGAAGAAACAAAGAATGCTATGTCTAACCTATATAATCAGCAGATGGATATCATGGTTCAGTTACCTGAAAGACATGGACGACAGGTTTGACTTGCCAAAACAAGAGAATGTCATGATTCTTCACCCACTCATCTATCAAACAACAACTTAAGCATTAGAGTCAAGACTAAAATATAAACTTATCTTTTTCCTAACTCACTCAAAAAGGAAAAATGAAATTACCATTTCTATCAAATCCCATAATGAAAAACTCAATTAATTAGATAGATCGTCATGGTCAAGAGAAAATACCCGTATCACAAATTCGAATCCTCTGTACATTTTGCACGAGAAATATATCATCAGCAGGCACCGGAACGGGCCCATCTACATAGCTCAAGCTTCGCTTCTCAAGCATTCTGCACCCCCAACCAACGAAAGAAAAGATACTTATTTTGTTGCTTGGCAACAATCTGAAAGATGATCAGCACCAAAATTAAACAACCATAAGTATTTATTCATATTTAGTTTGTTCGTACTGCTCAACGGCTACTCGGACATCTTCTTGTCGAGCTGTGCTGGAGGGTTTTAAGCAGACTTCAACTGGAAAACACAGAAAAACAAGAGAATGACTGAAAAGATGTAAAAACTGTGAAGCTGAGAAGTAATGACAAGTTAATTTCAACCTGTACATACCAGAGACGAGGATTTTGTCTTGGGGGAGGATAGGAGCTGGGCTGGGTTCTGCGACGCGGTTTTTCTCTGATATCTCACTGTCGATTGGATTTCGAATGGAGATGTCCATGGGAGTAATCATTACGTTTGGGTTTTGAAGAGAGTTGGATTTGGGGAGTTAGGAATTACGTTTGGAAACCAGAGAAGATGGCGATGGAGGAGGATCGAAGTGAGATTTTGGGAAATTGGGAACTTAGGGATTCTTTTACCAAAAATCAAATGAATTTGGGGAATTTTTGAAGTTGAGCGGGAAATAATATTTGCTCTTCTTACAACAGAGCATAGTTACGTAAACACGTGCAGACTTGTTCTTTTTTGAATTTTTGTCGGTCTCCAATTTAAAGATCAACTTTCTTAATATCTTCTTTGTCCTTTTCAATATACATACATATATATATATATATATATATATATTTACAGATTAAAAAAATTAAATTATATAAAAGTATATACGTGTATAACTAAAATGGAATTTAATTTTTTTTAAATAAGGATAATGAATATTTTATATTTTATATTAACTTATTCTAATATTTTAATAGATAATTTCTTAAATAAAGTTTTAAATTTATTAATTATGTGATATACATAAAATAATTATAATTTTTTATAATAATGAAATATTGTTTAAGGATTAAATGAAAAAATAATGTAAATTTTGAATTAAGCACTGAAAAGATAAAATAGTTGACATCCACACCACACAGAAGCTCTTAGATTGAAGATGGAGAAAGTTGTCTGTATCATAGATCACTATGGCCCATACACTCTCAATCATCAAAATATTCACAGCCATGGAAACGAGACGTTAACAAAAGAAGATAGCAGACATCTACAGCAGCTCATCTCTACTTCTGCAAGAATCTAGGTTTACCCAAACAACAACCATGGCAGCTCCACCAGTTTCTCAGAGGTGAAACAACCATGAAGAAGAAAGTGGAGATTGAAGATGACGATAGGCGAAAGCAGGAGATAACCAAGGCTGTCGCACAGGCTTGGTATGCGCGCTCTGGCAGCTCTAAACCTAGCAACGAATTCGATGCTCACCGACGAAATTTTGGAGGTAAACCATCCAGATTCAAGCTAGAAGCCAGGAACAAGTCTCCGGCCAATGCAAGTAGTAATGCACGGTGGGATTTTGCGCAGTCGCTATGGGATTCGTATGAGATTGTGAGCGTCGCAAAAAGGTTGGAGACTGGATTGGTGCTTGAAAATACTTTAGCGAGGGTTGGAGATGAAGACGATGAAAATACTAGTCGAGTCCACAGGAGGCGAAAGGAAAGTAAGAGTAGTCTTAGGAATTTGTTTAATCGTTTATCTTCCAGGAGATTCAATGAGACTGATGTTCCCGGGTGAGACTAAATATAGTTAATTAGAAACTTACAGTCATTGCATGATACACAAACGTTTTCATGACAGAACGAGATAAGGGAAATCAGAAGTGAACCTGCAAATTTCTTTAGGAATAAAATGCCTGCAAAGTGAATTTTTGCTTTGAGCCGGCAATATATATATATATATATATATATATATATATAGATGTATATAAAGATCACTTTGTTGAAAGCATCTCTTGGTCAGTATGTGTATGTTAGCAAGTGATAATATATTAGTAGAAAACTAATTTATTCATTTGATAGTTGAATATTCCAAGCTACATGATTGAAACAGGGGGAGAGTAAGACAGGCATATTTTATTTTAAGCATGGTGGGTTGGGGAAGAGTATTATGGCCTGTAGATGATTCAGAAAGGTACAAGTAATTTAGTTGATCACTGAAATTTAAAGGTCTTCCATTTGCACAACTCAAATCCCTTGTGTTTCTGCCTGATGAAACTCTCAGCTTGGACATCAATACTTTCGTGGTGAACCTCATAGTTTCCATCTCTACCCTCTTCAATCCTCTCAACATACTCAGATATCTGAACCTTCTTCCCAGGTTTGTTACTGGGTTTGTGCTGCTCTTCGTCTTGTTCCTCGCGAGAGAAATTGTTTTTGAAAGCTCTGTGAACATTGGGGTAATGGATGACAGTAGGAGATCTTTCTAATCTCTCGAGATGGGCGTGGTAGTCGTTGGATGTGGTGTTCCAACCTTGGTGAGAGTAATAGCCGCTAGCCATATTGGAGCCTTTGCTTTGAAAATGTTAGATGTAAGAAGAGATGGAAGGTGAATTTTATAGACATCTCATTTTTTATTCTTGAACCAATAATGGTGAATCAAATTCTCCATATCTTTATGAAGGATGGTATAGAATGGAGAAAGGCTCCGTTTAAAGTTGATACCTTCTGGCGTAATGAATATTGGAATCATCTTTCTCGTTTTTGCTTTTTACACAGATAGTGAGTCCCAATTTTTTTGGGTCCTCAAAGTGCCAAAAAATGAGATGCAAAACGCCAACAATTTCATCTCGGTTTTTATATATTCCGAACCCACAAAATTTTATAAAGAGTAAACAACAAGATCACTTAAGGAATGTTATCATGCATTCATTATCTCCCACCTTTAAATTTAAGTGTAAAAGAATCGCACTTGTTTAAACAATATTTTAATATATATTCTTTTAAGCTTCAAAGATATCTTGTCTTTTAAATTTAATTTTAATTTTAATCTCAGAAATATTAATAATAGAAAAAATCACATAACTTATAATTTGTGTTGTCCATGAAATTAAGATATTATTATTTATATTATATAATTATTTTTATCAAATAAAATTAAAATTTTAAGCTAAAGTCCTACCAAACATAATTTTTTTTTTTTTTATTACTCTCAGTACATTTTGTATAATTATCTAACACAGATTTTATAATTAACACCAAAGTAAATAACTGTTTTCTATGTATTAAAATCCAAGTTGACTAATTTTTTATTATTGCTAATATATATTAAAAGGCATTTAAAAATTGTTTTTAAAAAGAAAAGGACAAGGGAAAATTGTTTTTAAAACGATGCAGTTTCGATTTTATATATTTGATCAATTAACAATAATTCTTCTAATTAAACAGCCAATGGGCTTTTAAAAGATGATCTTGACTCGACTCTCTTTTCGCGCGAAAACCAAAATCTCCATAACCACTGCCCCACTGTCAAATCCTGCGATCGCCGTTATTTTCTCGATGGTGCTCTCCTCCTCCGCTTCCAAATTGCTACCACGGAACACGTACTCTAAATTTTTCATGAAATCCATCAACTTCATTCCTCATGTTACAGTGTTATGATTAGAGGTTTTGCGCTCGAGCAATCCCCTCATAAGGGCTATCTTCTTGTTCAAAAGGATGCATGAAAATCCGGATCAACATGATGAATTCACTTTCTCCGTATCCTGAAGGCTGGCTCTAGGCTAAGATATTTGAACAAAGGTAAACAGATCCGTGCTCGCGCGGGTTTTAAAATTTGGGTATTACGTCTAGTGGGTTTGTTGGCAAACAGTTTACTGCATACATATGCTAACTATGGGAAACTCCAGGTACCCGTTGAGTATTTGACGGAATGTCTAAAAGCGTGGAATGGAACGTTTTCGAGTTATTGCAAGAGTGGACTGTTTCATGATGTGCTTGAATTGTGTTTGAGTTTGATTCAGTTTGTTGATTGCATGTGGAAGATTGGCTAACACCGAATCGGTAATGGATTTGTGAATGTGTGGAGGAAAATGGGCTTCTGCGAAATCTTACTTCAATGACTTCCCTCGTTGATATGTATGGCCAATTGTGGGCAGTGTTTGGATACCGCGAGAAAATTTTTTGACCAAATTGGATGGAATGCCGTGATTTCAGATTATAGCCAAGCAAGTCGATATATAGAGGAACTCAGTATTTCAATGAGATCAAGTAACTAATGTAGATTCAAAGGAGGTTAGTATGGTTTGTTGTGGTGTCCTCGGAAGTGGATTAACAGCTATAAACAAGAAGAGGATGAAATTCATGATTTCCCTTGGGAGTACTTGGATTTTTATGGAAAATTTTGGTTGATAGAGAATGCAATTGAAGTTTTTGAAAAGAGTCTTTTCTTGGGCAGTGCTAATTCAAGATCTTGCTAGCGATGGAAAATGGAACAGGGGTGTTATAGTTAAAGTGAGCATAACTTCCATTCATGTCGTTTTAAGTATGAGCAGAGACTTTATCTAACAAAGTCAAAGAAAAAAAAAAAGTAAAAGTGGGAATATTCAACAGCATTGGTGGATAGATACGCTGCAAATATTTTATCTAACTGACCTTAATTGAAATGTAGATTATTCACTTGAAATTTGTGGTGTTATCAAAATGTAATCACTAGAGTTGAATCCTAGTTTACTGAGCTTCCTTCAGCTAGTTTTGACCCCGAGAAAGGGCAATTATGTTCATATTTATCATTTCAGTTGTCGATAATGGGTTAATAACACTGGCTAAAGCAGAAAAAGAAAGACTTCGGCTTGTCTTCCATCTTTCCTTTGGTAGTTTCCCCCGAGTCATGGTGTGCTGCCATCAAAGAGCTTGTACCTGGAGATTCCGGTGGAAAGACTGTATTTTCTGAAGTAAAAATTTGGGGAGGAATCATGGGTTTAGGGGGAGCAACTGTAGAAAGATAATTAAGAAGCATCTGGATTATTTGACTAAAATTAGGCCGGTCATTCGGATCCTCCTTCCAGCATGAAGTCAGAATAATTACCAGTTCCTCTGGTAAGTTTTCAGCGCTAGGCCTTACATTCTGAAAAAGCAAAATTAAAAAAGTTCAAAATTATCAGCTAAATTTAGCGTACTAGATTGATTTTCTAGAAGTAAATTGTTCTGATTGATTCTCAGAAGGCAAAGGCTCCTACTTTGAAAGCAGCTGCATATGCTGCCTGAAGATTTGACATGCCTTCAAATGGCAATTTGTTATGTAAAAGCTCCCACAGAACAATAGCAAAGCTGTAGGCATCCACCTTATGGTTGTAGTGCTTCTTCTCTCCCTGCCTTAATGTAACAGTACTGTACAACTGGCAACATATAGCCATTGCAATTAAGCACTACTTTTGTCAAGAGGATATTAAGATAGAGATTGAGAAAATTATAGAAAGACAGTCAAGGATGAAATAAGAAAAAGAATAAACTATGAGGTATTCTTTAAGGAAGTACCTCGGGTGCCATTCATCGGTAAGTTCCCGTTCAGCAGTCATCATTTCTGTTAATGATTCTTCTCTAGCTAAGCCAAAGTCTGCTAGTTTTACTGTCTTGCGGTCTGCTGTCAAGAGCAAGTTCTCTGCGAAGAAAACAATTCAATTCAAGAAACCACTCAAAGCAACCAAATTCTCCTCGTGTGATGCTTGTAGACAAGCATGCACAAATTAGGCATCAACCTTCAGTTTAAGGAGCATTGTTAACATTCTAAGAGACACTCACAGAGAAAATCATATAAGATCTCTATTGTAAACAAAGTTGATGCATGTGAGACATTAAGGAACCATCAGGATTATAGTTAATCATTGAAGCAATATACTCTTTCTAGCCATGTAGAGTTGCTTCATCAAGCAGTCATCAAGGCCCTAAACTGCTAACGCTTGCCAAGAAATTTTCAATCTGTCCCTAATGTTATTGTCCTGTAGCCAAATGCTGACAGCATTTGGCTGTGATGCAGAAGAAACTGATTTAAGAAACCAGACGACAAACAGTCATGAACTACAATTATTCCCCTCCACAAAAAATGAATTACTCTTTTTACATTTTTACCATGTTAAATAAAGTCTGTTTTTGTAAAAGAAAAAATAGAAAAAGCTAGATGGAATATTAAACCATTGTGGATACCTCCGTTAAGGATATGTAGTTGCAGAATGTTACTTTCACCAAAATCATATTAGTTTGTTATGATAAAATTTAATTTAATCACAACAGTTCTACAAATACACTAACGAGTTAAGTCATAGGCTTGTTGAATTAAACATTATAAATTCATTACCGTCAGTTCATAATACATTCACAAAATAATGAGTTCTACGTTTTTAATAAATTTCAAACTTGTGGCCTTCAAATAAATTGTTAGAATTTTAACTATTAAACTATCATATTAGTGGTAAATAAAGTTTTTTTTTTAATTATGTGAATAAAGGTTCAAAGATTCACTACCTACCTACCTCACTTCAGACACAACAATATACATGTCCAGATATGAGATACGTAGCCTTGGGCCTTTCTCAAAAGCCAATATTGACTTTATAGTAATGACTGAATAACCCGACAACAACACTTCTAAGAGATGAAGGCTAAATAATGAAAACCCTTATATCGATAAACTGCCCTGTTTTGGCACCCTACAATATACCCAGGCAATGTTTGAAACAGTAGATAGTAAGAAATAGTATGAAAATTTGATGTTTTCCAATATAACCAATAGAATACAGGGACAAACATGAGCTACCATAAAAAGTGTCATTTTACAAATTCTAAACCTTCTCCTACCAAATTACACCTTAAAAGCACCAGAGAGAAAGGATACAAAAGATTACCAGGTTTGAGATCTCGGTGTATGATGCCATGAGAGTGTAAACATTCCATAGCACGAGCAATGTCAAGGGCAAAACCAACAGCAACACCAGTATCTAAGCACCTCGGCCTCATGTTCAACAAATATTTCCTCAATGTTCCTGCCAGCAAAAGCTCAGTCACTATCACCATAGCAGGTTCTTTGCAGGCACCTATAAACTGTTGAAACACAAAGGATTCAACATTTACAACATTTAAGTGTTAATTACAGATAAAATTTACAATAGTTTCCAAATACAGCTAGCCCACTAATCTTGAGATCAAAATAAAACCTTGACTAAGTTTTTATGTTGAACTCGAGATAACATGGAAACCTCTCTTGCAAACCGTGCTTCTCTCTTGGCGATTTCTTCTGGAGTTTCTCCATTGTGGACAATTTTGATTGCAACAGTATGGTTTTTATACCTTAAGCAAACAAAGGCAAAAAGAAAAGCAAACCAGTGAGACAACACCAATTTGTAAACCCACAAGAGCAGGAAACTACTAATTTCTTGCGAAAGAGCTAAAACCAAATTTATCCCCAACAATCAAATGCAAAACAGATTCAATTGTCAAAAAAAATCCCGGGAAACATAACATGGGAAGATTCTGAATCAACATAAAGAAAAATGCATTAGACCAACCAATTACTGATAACTTAATAGGAAGATGGATTTCTCAATCTATCAACAGGGAACCCAATTCCTTAATCTGAAAAACATATAGTCTCAGCTAAATTTCAACTTACAGAGACCAACAAAGAACGAAAAATATAAATTTAAGGAAAGAGAAGTTGCAGACTTACTTTCCTTCGTAGACTTTGGCATGGGCACCCTCTCCAATTCTTGGGCCAACAAAGAGATGCTTGGGATCAATTAGCCATCTGGCATCTAATTTGAACTCATCAACTGGGTGATACCTATTTCCAGATTCCATAATCCTAACAGACGAAAAAATTAAACATCTATGCCTATCTTGCTTCAAAATCCAAAAAGGAAAGCATTGAAAAGCTCGTTCACCACAGTGGTACAGTTGGGATAAGATGACATGAAACAGGGAAGCATACAAGACATACTCCGCGTATATAATCTCGTCTGAAGAATCAGGCCCGGAGATCGAAACTGGGAGAATGGATGGGTTACATGCTACTGAGGAGGCAAAAGCAAGAAACCCCATATGTACAGCATAGAGGGGAGACTAGAGAGAGAGAGAGAGAGAGAGAGAGCTCCAACCCCAAAGAAATTTGTTTAAAATTTCATGGGGAAAGAGAAGAATCCCCATCAAGGGGAGCAGAGGAACCAATCACAAAGGCTGAAAAGAAAACTAAAGGTTTTCCCCATTAAAACCCAATGAAGAACAATGAAATGGGGAGATACGAAGGTTTGGTGTTTATTATTTTGTTTAACGTTAAAGAGGGTACAAACAAAACAAATTAGAGAGTTTCTTCAGTCTAGATCTGCAGACAGAATCATGGAAGGGATTGAGGTGTGTGTTCTTTTTAAAAAAAAAAAAAAGTAAAAAAAAAAAAAAAAAAGTAAAAAAAAAAAAAAAAAAAGCAGAAAGAGAGAGATATTTGTATTGGCAATAAAGAGTGTGGGAACCATATAGTAATCAAAAGCACATGGCAACTGATTTTGTCAAACATAGGGACAACCCACTTACAAAGAAATGCCTGGACTACCTACTTCAACATATGGAGCATCTTATACGTCCACAACTTACAGGAACAATCCTATAGTAATGCCCATATTTTAGCTTTGATTAAATTGACAATAGGGTTTTTTGATAATGTGTTTCGTTCTCTGACCCATATATATGTATGTATACAACAATCTAATCTTATTATTTTCTTTTCTACTAAAATTTTTAACTATTCTTCAGTTTCACATAATACCCATATTGTACATTAGTTTTCTTTCATACCCAAAAGAAGAAAAAAATTATTTTGTACTTTGCATGACTATGGAAGTTAACAGTTTTCTACCACAGAGAGTAAAAACCAGAAGTGGTAAATATATAATTTGTGGGAAATGAAGACACATTCTATAATATGACAATAGGATGATAATTTTCATTATTTATCATATCATCAGTCTTTAAAAACATGTTCTTAAAATTTGTGCAGTTGTTTTTCGAAAAAAAAATAAAAAATGTTGTATATAAAAAAATAAAGAAAAAAAGAATTTAGCTCGATCATATTTTAATCTTTATCAATAACATGATGGTTAAACAAAAATTATAGGGTATGGAGCTAAAAATCTTGTTTAGTAAAATAACATAATAAAACAAATTAAAATAAATATTATAGGGAATATAGAGTAACTTGAAGTAAAAATTGATGAAAAATAAATTTGTTATGTTAATTGTTTGACCACCAATAAGTAAAAATAAATTGATGAGCCTTCTGTATTTATCTAGTTCACTAAATGATGGACCAGAATCAATATTTAACTTATGATCTTTAGGAAGAGCTATCAAAGTAGGCTTAGTATCAAGTAATCCCATGTCCTTCAATATATCTAGTACGTATTTTCTCTAAGTAAGACAAATGCCAACTGAAGACCTGACAATCTCAACACTAAGAAAATATCTAAAATGTCCTAAGTCTTTGATGGTAAACTATTGATAACGAGAAGCTTTAATTGTTATAATATTCTGCTCATTTGTACCTGTAATTAGAACGTCACCAACATAAATGAGGAGGGCTAAAAATTACTATTGAGAAGATAAAGTGAATAAGCAATGATCATGGGCGGACTGTGAGAAACCATAATCACACAAATGTTGTGTAAAGACATGATTCCATTCCATGGAGGCCTGCTTAAGCCCATAAAGGGACTACTTCAATTTGCAAACTTGACCTTGTAAAGCTTTATCATAACCTTGTGGTAGTAGCATGTATACTTCTTCATGTAATGTACCATGAAGAAAAGCATTATTTATATCACATTGATGAATAAATCACTCTCTAATAGTAGCTAGTGCTAGAAATATCCTAATGGTCACTAACTTGGCAACAGGAGAAAATGAATTAGTATAGTCAATGCCTTCAATTTGATTACAACCCTTAGCAACAAATATTGCCTTATACCTTTTTATAGAACCATCAGGTAAGTACTTAATTTTGTAAGCCTATTTTAATCCAATAGGTTTTTTTCCAGTAGGCAAATCAACTACTTCCCAAGTCTCATTGGTTTTAAGAGCCTGTAATTCATTTTGCATAGCGGTTATCCAATTTGCATAAGTACATGCTTGCTTGAAAGTTACAGATTTTGAAGTACTTGACACTTTTGCCAAGAAACACATATATTCAGGTGTAAAATTAGGTGAATGATAAAATTGATAAGTTCATAATGGATAAGGGGAACCTGTACCAACCTTTGAAACTGAATTTTGTTGGATGAGAAAGGATGGTTGTACAGTTGTTAATACAAAATCACTTAACTTGCTTGGTGGCTTTCTAATTCTAGAACTATGTCTGACAGGGAGTAAGGCTCTGAAGAAGACTCAATAGTAGCAAGTAATGTGACTGAATCTGAAGAAGGAGAAGATTTAATAACAGAGGTATTATTCAAGGAATCATAATCATCAAGAACATGAAATGGAAGAGAAGTATCAACATACTGAAACTTATAAGGAAAAATATCTTCATCGAATACAACATCACGAGAAACAAACATCTTATAAGAAGAGAGATCAAAGACCTTGTAAGCCTTTTGACCAAGATTGAAACCTAAAAAGATGCATTTAAAGACCCTGGGATCAAATTTACTTTTATGTAGAAATGTATTTGAAGTATAGCATAAGCATCCAAATGTCTTAAGTATGTTATAATATAGGGTTTAATGAAACAACATTTCAAAAGGAGTTTTTCAATGTAAAATAGAAGTTGATAGTTTATTTAAAATGTGGGTAGTCGTTAAAATTGATTCACCCTAAAATTTTGTTGGTAAACCAAATTGAAAAAGAAGAGCCCTTGTAATTTGTAAAATTTATTTATGCTTTCTCTCAACTCTATCATTTTGTTAAGGAGAAAATGGTGTAGATTTTTTTATGTAAGATGCCATGAGAAGAAAATAATTTTTGGCAGTTATTACTGGTAAATTCATTGCCATTATCAAATCTGGTAACTTTAATAGAAACATTAAATTGTGTATGCACCATTTTAAAAAAATGAGGAGAATGGAAATCACTTGTGTTTTGTATGTCATTAAAAAGGTCCATGTAAATCTACTAAAATCGTTAACAACGGTGAGAAAATAATATGCATTTGTCATAGATGGTTGAGAATAAGGACCCAAAACGTCAACATGAATTAGTTGAAAAATCTCAAAAGAATTAGAAACACTGTTTGAAAAACTAAGCCGTTGTTGCTTAGCTAAAGGATATACATCATACAAAAATAAATCTTGAGACATTTTATTATTTATAAAAGGAAGGTGAGACAACACCAAAGGAGATACATGACTAAGTCTTTTGTGCCATAAAAACACTAATTGTGCATACAATTTATTTTGAGAACCAGAAGCAACATTAAATGAGAATTAATAAACAAAAATTAGGAATTTTGTGAATATGTTTCAAGCAACCACTATGATAAAAAAAGCAGATCAACATCAAATGAAATAGAATCTAGGATGTATAACCTACAGACCACATTTCCCACAATCAACAATCTCTCAGTCTGAAGGTCCTGCAGCAAACAATATGAATAATAAAATAAGAATCTAATTAAAGTTGTTTCTGATAATTTATTGACTGATAACATGTTATATTTAAAGGAAAGTATATGCAAGGTTTCCGTAAGAATGAGGTTGGTATGTAGGTGAACATCTCTTATATGATGAAATAGTTTGAGTATTCCATCAAATAGGTATATTGGGGTTATACGATTTACTGGTTTAATAGGCTGAAGTTGTTTAAGGTCATGGCATATGTGATTCGAAGCTCCAGTGTCTATAATCCAACTCCCTACTTCTAACAAACTCAATGCACTACATGCAAAATTAGGAAAAATGTAACACCTAAAACTTTTTATTTTATTATTATTGGAATTTTGTTTGTTTTTATTTTATTTAAATAATTAATTTATAAGATTTTAATTTAATTTAATTTAATTTAATAGAAATAAAAATAATAATAATGATAAAATAGAGTAAAATTATTTTTTGGATTTAATTGAAATTGATTTTGGGAAAATGGTGAAAATTTAGATTCTAGGAGTGTTTTTGAAAAGAAAATCGAAAACGGGGGTCAAAACGTAATTTAGAAAAATTACGCCACGTCAGCAGCCCCGGCCAACCAAGACATGCCGCGTGGCAGGGACGCTGACACGTGAAGCCATGCGGGACAGAGACACGTGGGCGATCCGCGTGCGTGCGATCGGACGGTCCAGATCCGTTCCCACGCGCACGGACGACCTAGATCAAAAGCGTGCATGGACGGCCCAGATCTCACGCGTGCGGACAGTCCAAATTTGATCACGCACGGACTGCCCAGATCGCATCGCGATGGACGACCTAGATTTATTTCTAATTTAATCGTGATCGGACGGCCCAAATTAAATTGTGATGGACGGCTCAGATTAAAAGGAGAATGTTATAAATAATCTCATCCATACCTAACCCCAAATCCTAGTCGCCAGAACCCTCGCCGGAGAAGACAACCCAGCCACCGGAGGAACCGACTGCCGCTACCCGCCGCTGCATCGGATCACCTTTTGGTAGCCAAATGAGGTAAAATTTCTTCCATTGGCTCGTTTTTCGATGCTGAACCTCCCTGTGGCCAAATCAGAGCAAAATCACCGGTCAATTGGTGGCCGAAGTCCAGCAGCGTCGTTGCAGATTTTCTTGATTTTTTCCTCCGATGAGGCCCTTTACGATTCCCGTTCGATGTAATTTTTACACCACTGTGACCACCGTCCTTTTCTCTATAGGTTGACCGGAGCAAAATACCAAATCACAACTCGCACCAGAGGATCCGCCGCCGGTAAGTCTCGATTTTCTGTAATTTTTTAGGCCATTGAGGGCCCTAGGGGTGTTTTATCACAGGAACCAATGCAAGTTTGGCCGAATTCGACCGAAAACAGTCAGAAACGACCAACCCGAGGCCGTCGTGCCGGAATTCTAAAATTGGTCGAACAGGCCCTAGGTCTGATTTGGAGTTTTTTAGGGATATGTGCAGGTACCAGAAGTGTGTTTCAGTTTTCGAAAAAAAATTTAGGGACTGCCCGTAGGCGCAGTGAGAACCCGATTTCAGACTCCGAAACAAGTAAGGATCCCTCACCCTATTTCATATCACGGCATTAAATCTTAATAAATGATAAAACGGTATTTTATGAATTAATAGATATGTATAATTAATTAAGATTGCTAATGGGGTCCGATCCTGATGTACTTATCGGTCTGTTTTTGTTTGATGTATTTTACAGTCTAAATGCAGTATAGTATCTGATTGTTTATTCTGTGGTTTCGCATACATGAATAACTGTTTAATCTATTATGGTTTGAATTATTGTGAACCCGATGTTGTGTTGACTTGTTTGGTGTGCGTTGCTGGTTTGCGTATTTATGTTGATTGGGTAATCAAGACTAAGAAAAATAAGGATGGTATGTGAATTTATAAGTGGATAAGTCGATAGCCTCACTAGATATCCTGTGAGATGGTTGACGAACCGGGTCCATAGAGAACACTACCGGGAACGTGGTCTTTCATATCGGACGGGGTATGGAGACTTTAAATGTTTTGGCGTTCATACCGGACGGGGTATGGGGACGACCCGCTTCACCCTCATATCGGACGGGGTATTGAGGTTTATGGTTTTGGCACTCATACCGAACGGGGTATGGGGACGACCCTGAAATTAATGAGAATGGTTCACGTGTAGCGGGGATCCCTATAGATCTCCATGGATACTAGTAGCTGATAAAAAAAAAAAAAATTTATTGTCTGATGATTGAAATACAAAAGTATGATATATGTATGTACAGAGTGTGCATGATCTATGATG